ATAAGGGCAAAATGAAAATTCCTGAAGTGAAGATGCCCAGCGTCAAGGTCCCCAAGGTCAAAGGGCCAGAAGTAGGGATCTCTCTGCCAAAGGTTGAGGCTGATATCACCATTCCCAAAGTAAAAGCTGAACTGTCTGATGGTGCAGAGGTAAAATTGCCAGAGACTGAAGGCACCATCGACGGGGGAGGACTGAAGATGCACATGCCAAAGTTCAAGATGCCCAGGATGGGATTTTCCAAACCAGACATCAAGGGCCCCAAAGTTGATGTGGATGTCAGTATGCCTAAAGTGGACCTTTCCCTTCCCAAAGCTGACCTCCATGTTGAGAAACCTGAGGTGAAGGGAGGAAATACTATCATATCAGCACCTGAAGTAAAGATTCCAACGGCCTCGGCCAGCCTGGAACTGAAAGCTCCCGACGTAGCCATACAGCCTCCATCCGGAAAGGTTTCTGTGCAGGGGCCCGATGTCAAGCTGGAAAGTGGGGATATGAAATTCCAAATACCCAAGTTCCATATGCCCAAATTTGGAATTTCGCTGCCCAAAGGGACAGGTGTACCAGAGGAGGAAATCGGCATTCCTTCTGTGGAAGCAGACCTTTCGAAGACAGAATTGAAAACGGAAATAACACTGCCCTCTCCGCAGCTTGAAGCTAACCTTAAGCTGCCAGAAATGGAGGTAGATGCACCTAGCTTGGATGTGGAGATTGGACATAAGGGCAAAATCAAAATGCCTGAAGTGAAGATGCCTAGCGTCAAGGTCCCCAAGATCAAAGGGCTAGAAGTAGGGATCTCTCTGCCAAAGGTTGGGGCTGATATCACCATACCCAAAGTAAAAGCTGAACTGTCTGATAGTGCAGAGGCTGTAAAATTGCCAGAGGCTGAAGGCACCATCGATGGGGGAGGACTGAAGATACACATGCCAAAGTTCAAGATGCCCAGGATGGAATTTCCCAAACCAGATATCAAGGGCCCCAAAGTCGATGTGGATGTCAGTATGCCTAAAGTGGACCTTTCCCTTCCCAAAGCTGACCTCCATATTGAGAAACCTGAGGTGAAGGGAGGAGACATTACCATATCATCATCTGAAGTAAAGATTCCAACAGACTCTGCCAGCCTGGAACTGAAAGCTCCCGACGTAGCCATAGAGCCTCCATCTGGAAAGGTTTCTGTGCAGGGCCCCGATGTCAAGCTGGAAAGCGGAGATAGAAAGTTCCAAATGCCCAAGTTCCATATGCCCAAATTTGGAATTTCAGTGCCCAAAGGGACAGGTATCCCAGAGGCAGAAATCGGCATCCCTTCTGTGGAAGCAGACTTACCCAAGACAGAATTGAAAACGGAAATAACATTGCCCTCTGCGCAACTTGAAGCTGATCTTAAGCTGCCCGAAGTGGAGGTAGATGCACCCAGCTTGGATGTGGAGATTGGAGATATGGGCAAAATGAAAATTCCTAAAGCAAAGATGCCTAGCGTCAAGGTCCCCAAGGTCAAAGGGCCAGAAGTTGGTATCTCCCTGCCAAAGGTTGAGGCTGATGTCACCGTTCCCAAAGTAAAAGCTGAAGTGTCTGATGGTGCAGAGGTAAAATTGCCAGAGGCTGAAGGCACCATCGACAGGGGAGGACTTAAGATACACATGCCAAAGTTCAAGATGCCCAGCATGGGATTCTCCAAACCAGGCATCAAGGGCCCTAAAGTCGATGTGGATGTCAGTATGCCTAAAGTGGACCTTTCTCTTCCGGAAGCTGAGCTCCATGTTGAGAAACCTGAGGTGAAAGGAGGAGATATTACCATATCTGCACCTGAAGTAAAGATTCCAACGGGCTCAGCCAGCCTGGAACTGAAAGCTCCCGACATAGCCATCGAGCCAGCATCCGGAAAGGTTTCTGTACAGGGCCCCGATGTCAGTCTGGAAAGTGGGGATATGAAATTCCAAATGCCCAAGTTCCATATGCCCAAATTTGGAATTTCGCTGCCCAAAGGGATAGGT